TTAAAGGACATAAAATAAAAGAGTACGAATAATTACGAGACAATAAAAACTGATTAAACCCGGAGTCGGTCATATTTATTCAAATACGCAATAGCGGTCTCGTCTTCATCACCAAGTAAGGTAAGTGTGTAACCCTAGGCTAACCTATAAATTCAAGAGATTATCATCTCCTCTCGTTCGCTCACACCCCGCAGCCCTGCACTTTTCTCTCTCGATAGATTAGCAGTAGAAAAGAGAAAAATCATATAATTTCTTGTCGAACCTATCAGCAAGAAGAAAGAAAATCTCACTCTCATACATAATCTCTTTCTCTCTCCCTGTTCACGCTCAAGCCAACGTCATCGCCATCATCGCGAGAACCTGTACGCAGAACCAGAGAACCACCACTTGTTTGCTGCTCTGCCGGTAAGAGCCCCTTCCCCATCGCAGCAACTTGTGAAACAAGTCGCCAGAGAGCCCTTCTCTTCCGCGACGAGACACTGCAGCGCCTCCCCGCTCGCGACACCACCGCCTGCAAATCCCATTACGCCGCGACCAGGGCTCCACCACGCCGCGACAGAACACCATGCCACGCCGCGACCACCAGCACGCCGCGACAGAACATACGCCATGCCGCGATCGACCACCGAGCGCTGCTACACCCCCTGTTCGTAGCGCAAGTCATCTCAGGCCTCCATCATCACCCTCCGTCGGGTCCCGTCGAGTTCCGTCGGACTGCTGAACGTGGCCGTCGAGTCCCGTCGAGTTTTTTAAAGGTGTCAAACATAGCCGGCGAGTTCCGCCTCTTGCTGTTGTAGTTGCCTTCCTCGTCGTGGTTCACGTACCTCCGATAGGAACGTGGCCCATTTGCTGCCTGCTCGGCCCTCGTCCTTGCAGCAGAAGCCCTTCACATCATGACATCGCCGCGGAGCCCGTTATTATTTCATATTCTCCATCGCGAATCAGTCCGGCGAGTCCCGTCCACGCTCATGAGCTTCGGCGTGTTTTCGTGAACCGCCGCCGTGAACCAGCAGCCTCCCGACGGGCCCCGTCAGCTGCTGCTCCTCCTCCGCGAGACAAAACGTAGTCGTCGAGCCCGTTGTCCAGTTGTGTCGTTTCTTTCGTTGCCCGTTTCGTAACCCCGTCTCGAGAACGGTACCCGGGCTAACCCTCGACTTATTTATTTTGCTCCTATATATGTTTCGGTGCTCGTATATGTGTTATTATTGATGAACGTTTGAGTTTTGAACTAATTTGTGCCTTAGATAAATAAACATGAATTATTGATATATTTAATTGCCATTTGATTATCAAAGTGATTGTCGTCACTTTGAAAAATTGTCGAACTGATGGTAATATAGTATTTTCCGTGGAAGTACTGTGGTTTATTGGACTTAGGAATGTCCTTGACCCAACTGGTTTGGCCTTGTGTCGTTTCGATATGTATATTGTAAGATATGAATTTTTGAAAATCGTGTTGCAGTCCGTTTTTGCTAAAATCACTATAATTCGTGTATTGCTTCAAAAATTCTGAATTTGGGATATATTGTCTCATTACTGTTATATTACATGTAGTTAAAAATTGAGGTTTTAATACGGTCTGTAGCCTCGTCAAAACTTGAAAACCGTTTCTAGACTGTTTCTTAATAAATTCATATAAAATCGAGTTCTTGTCCGAATTGGCTAAATTTTGGGTATGTTGCTCTTCTGTATGATATCTTGCTTCTGTAGAAATTTATAAGTTAAATTCAGACTGTAGCTATTTTAAATGATTTAATTTGATTTTTGGTCAGATTTTGCTTAAAATAATTAAAATGGTTAGGAGCATATTTAGGGGTTTTTCTTTAGCGTAAATGTGTGTTTTTCAGTCTTATATATACTGTAAAAATTGTATTTGAAAAGTCCAAGCTTAACTCCTTATGTTTTCATTCTTATAAATTTTGAACTAGTCCGTTTAACCGTTTTTGGGCACCGGTTGACCTTGTTGGCAAAACCTTGACCCGTTGACCCCATTTTCGTGTCAAATCTTCATTTCTTGCTTTTATATGATTTATTAGTTGGTTTGTCGAGTCTAGAAGTCGTCCTAATGTTCCAACTCCACAACTTGCACGAGTTTCTTAGTCGATTTGATTCGACTAAGTATAATTCTCGTTGTCTGTGTAAGAGTCGAGATAGTTTCTTATGGGACTGTCTTGACTTATGTAGGTGTATGCCGAGCAGTGTCTCAACTACCTACGACTTTCCGGTTATTTGCTTTATCATTCGACACTAGGTGGGTTTACTTTGAAAAATTGCTATGCCTTAAATGTTATTAATGTTTACTTGTTGGTATGATCAAAGTATGCATGTGGGAACATGTAGCCTTCGATGTGAGCTGTAACGGTCGTCGAACGGTTATCCCCGTAGCTATAGAACGTACCCGTTGGGTAGTCTCTTTTATTATTGTGGGCAGTCAGGGCGTGAGCCTTGGCTGGTGATCCCCGTGTAAGGCCAGGGGCCATCGGGGTGGATTTACTCCTACTGGCTGGGCACTCGATCTGAGGCCAAGGGCCATTCGATATATAGCCCACAGCAGTCTATTGATATAGGTGTGCACATGAGAGTGATTATTGATTATTGATGGGAGATTAGGATAGATTAATGCTTCGTATACATGCTGAGACCATACCTTTGATTATTGATACTGTTTATTATTGAGGTTAACATTTATTGTATAGCAGTGAGAACTATTGTTTCCTTTTGTGCTCATCCCCACCTGCTCTTCATGGATGCAGGTTAGTGTTGCCGACACGACAGAGGGAGGCGAGTGGTGGTCATATTATTGTTTATATTTCGGCTGCTTTGAACCGCTTAGTATTATTTATGAACTTCTGATTTATGTTGAGAACTGGATGATGGATAAAGAGTGTACTCCCAAGTATTTATGAATTTGAGTAACCCAGTTTTGGGAGTTGATGTTATTGATGAACCCGATTTGGGTGTTGACTTGATTACTGAACCCGTTTGGGAGATCCATTTATGATATGATTGGAAATTGATTTGGAAATGAGTTGCGCCTTAAGTATTTTGAAATAAATTTTGAAAAATTTATTTTGGTGTTCGTCAAATAAAAGTGGGGCGTTACAGCGCCGCTGCCAGTGAGTTTCAAGGAGATAAATCTTACGTATAATGGATCGACCGACCCGTCATGACATGTTAGGGAGTTTGAGAATATGTATGTTTTGCACGGGTATTCAAATCCTGTTAGTTGCAGGGCTTTCTTGTCGGCCTTTGGGGGGAGGTGCACTCGACTGGTTTCACCAACTTTCCCAGGGTCGGTTAAAGATTTTGAGGATTTTGCAAGTCGACTAACCAACCAATACTGGAGCACGGTGGCCCAAGAGAAGACATACCTTACGTTGATGGCGATGCAACAATGGGAGAAGGAGTCCTTGGACAAGTACGCTGCTCGATACAACTAGATGTGCTTAGAGGGACCAACGACTGTTGACGAGGTAAAGGCAGGAGGGTTGATCAGAAGTCTGGGACCAGGCCCTTGTCGAATGTCGTTGGCCAAAACTCCCGCTGGGACTTATGATGATGTGTTGAAGTGTTGTAGGAAGTATATTAAATTTGGAGGAAACGGAGGCGGAGTTTTCCAAGTTGGAGGAGGTGGCGAAGCCCGAGCCGAAGAGGGGAAGGGCAAATTCACCCAGAAGGGATTCGCCCAGGAGAAATCCGCCAAGAGGGGTCCACCGAAGAGGTTATCGCCCAGAAAGGATGGGCGTGGTCCGCTTCATGATGGGCGAGACGATCGCTGGCAGGGGCGACCTATTATAGCACATGGCCAGAGATACAATAATTTTACTCCAATCAACTCGAAAATGGAGAAGTACTAGTAACCATGGAGGAAAAGCTGGAGCATAAAGATATCACTTGACAGAAGACGAGGTTTGAGGGGCTTACCCAACTCAGGTCGAACAGGTTGACCGCGCGTCGCGACGCGGCAAATTTAAATTTATAAAGTTTCCTCGACAAACCTCTACTAACTAGTAGTAGCGGCAAGTAAGGGTCGATCCCACGAGGAGCAGGAATTAGATTGTGACAATTTTCGTATTAATTGAATTAAAACTAGGAAAGCGATAAAAAGGGGGGATTGAATTTAATGAAAATAAAAATAAAAATAACAAAAGAAATAAAAATTAAATAAAATAAGAGAAGTCCAGTTTTCGGTTCAGTTATCACCCAATCTAAATTTACCGTTAATCAATATCGACGCTTTCTTTAAATTGCTAATGAATTACCGACCCTAGCTAACAACAAGCTCTGTTAACCGAATTTTTCCTTATTGAATATTTAATCGAAATAGGCTCTTCGACTAAACCTAACCAATGGACAACCTAGAATAAGCTCTCTAGGTTTAGTACACTAGCAGCATTAATCTCTAGGAAAATAGATCAGTCTAAGCAATGGACGCACAAGCTCGGACCATTTAACTTATGTTCACGCTACCCTAAGGATGCACGACCCCTAGTTTACTACTAATGAAACAAGACAATAACAATTACGGATTAAAGCCTCGAATCTAGCAGTTGAACTATGAATATTCAACCTAGCTGGCCAAACTAAATCAAACACTCATAATTCATAAGCACTATAAACAGATAACATGAATCAACTCATCCACAAAAATAAATACGACGTCTAGATTAATCAACGATAAATATAAATCCTCAAATTCATAGACAAATTCAAGTTAGGGTTCAAACATCCCCTCAAACTGGATATAAATCCTAGCCTAACATACTAATAAAATAAATAAAAACTAGATAAAAGAGAGAAGATGAAGATCTCCCTCGTGTGCGGGTGCGGCTTCCCTTCGCGTGTGTGGCCTCTTTCCTCTGTCCGTGCGTCTGTCCGCTATTTTGCTCTCGGCTTCTGTTATTTTTCTTTCTTTTTTTCTCCGTCCCCGCTACCTTCCGTCCAAAAACAATCAGTCCCCCGTAATGAGTCCTTCTCTCAGCCAATGATAATTCCCCTTAAGACTCAAATTCTCCTCCATTTAGTTTTGCTGGCCACGTGTATCAACTCAACAAAGGTAATTTGCTTCCATCCATGATTTATTTCCATCAACTTGGTTATGTTTTGGGCCTTAATTGATTCGATATAGAAAGGCCCTACAATGACTCACGAGAACTCTCGTCCAATATTTCGACATCTGTAAAACAAAAATTCCAATATGCTGAAAATAACACATAAAATATCAAAACAAATAAATCCATCCAAATAATAAATAAGTCGAAAAATATAAACGTGCACATAAATTAAGTGTATAGAAATACACCATTAACTATATAAAATAAGCACATTTTTTGACCTATCAAATCTCCCCAAACTTAAACCGTTGCTTGTCCCCAAGCAACTTAGAACTATAAGCACATAGATTGATATATATACAAGTACGTGGAATATTTGCTCATAGCCTCACAATTCACACATAAGTACATAGTTCAAACAACTCAAATCAATTAATCCGGACTCAAGATGAAATCATTCTAAGAGCTCAAACAATCAAGTGTCAATTCAAGTGACAACCATAGTTCGTCAATCTCTAACGAGTGTATTGATCAATGCAACTCATGACACCCCTCTCTTTGCTAACCAGCGTAGTTCCCTTCTGCTTCTACCCGATATTCAAATGTCTCTTTCTCCAATTTTTCTTTTTTTTATCTTTTTTTTTCTATTTTTTTTTTTTGCGAAGTAGGGAAAGACAGCTCCGTCACAACCCATGGGGTTTAGCCTTTCGTGCTCGTCTAGAAATGAAAATTATTGGATTTGTACACTAGAGCTCCCACGGGTTGGTAGCTGTTGCAGCCCAATACTTTTTTTTTTTT